TAGTTTAACCTAAGTCACTTTAATAACCATATTCTTACTAAAACCTACCTATGCATAGGACCACAAATATACTACTTACCAGGGGCGTAAGTAGAGACAGTTGCACTGGTAGTAATATCAGGGAAGCCAAGCACCAGCTACTGGTTGATTGAGCAGTAACCCAAAACTACAAGACCAGGCAGAGCAACCTGTGCACTGCCTGGATTGACTACAAGAAAGCCTACGACTCAGTGCCACACATGGATACTGGAATGCTTAGAAATGTACAACATTAATAGGACAATGAAAACCTTCATCAGGAACTCAGTGGGTCTGTGGAAAATGACTCTGGGGGCAACTGCACAAGTAACCATCAAGTGCGGCATATACCAAGGGGATGCACTGTCCCTGCTACTGTTCTGCATAGGCCTGGTCCCCCTCAGCCGGATCATCACAAAGAGTGGCTACGGATACCGGTCCCGAAGTGGAGCAACCATCAATCACCTCCTCTACATGGATGACATTGAGCTGTATGCCAGGAATGAGCGAGACATCAACTCGCTGATCCGCCTCACCAGGATCTACAGCAATGACATCAGAATGTCATTCGGACCATTTAAGTGTGGTCGGATGGCATCCAAGGGACGGAGGACAATCAGAACTAAGGGGGTTGAGCTACCAGAAGGCAGCACTGCAGATGTTCAGGACAGCTACAAATACCTTGGGGAACCATTATGAGGCTGCAAAGAAGTCATCCACAGACAAATACCTACACAGAGTAAGACAGGTCCTGAAAAGTCACCTGAACAGAAAGAACAAGGTCCGAGCCATCAACACATACGCCCAGCCAGTCATCAGATACCCCTGGTGTAATAACCTGGCCAAAGGAGGAGATAGAGGCCACTGATATCAAGACAAGGAAGCTTCTTACAATGCATGGAGGGTTTCATCTCAAGTCCAGCACCCTGTTCCACTAAGTGGAATGAGGGCGATGGAGGACTGGTGAGGATCAGAGACACTGTCCAGGTTGAAAGAACCAAGATCCAGGAAGACATCAGGAAGATGGCCCCCAAAGATAAGCTGCTAAGTGAATACCCCAGGCAGCAGAAACCCAATGAACGCAGAAGAGGAGGATGAACCATGATGGAAGGACGAGCCCCTGTACATCAAGAAGTGCTACCAGTGGCTGGAAAAGGCTGGACTGAAAGACAGCATAGAAGCACTAATCATAACAGCACAGGAACAAGCACTTAGTACAAGATCAATAGAAGCAGGCGTCTATCACACCAGACAGGACCCCAGGTGCAGCCTTTTTTATGTATATGTAACTATTCAATTGAATAAATAATTTCTTATTTCCTTTGATATTTTTGTCATATACAGGTATGCAATGATGATGGTTGGGTAACATGTATGTTGATGTTGCCTAATGTCAAGTCTCTATTTGATCATGTGTGGAGTTTTTTTTTTATAACAGTTGCCAGTGGTGTGTGTGTGTGTGCGCGCCCTATAACTAGTAACTACCATGCACCAGAGCCCCTTCATGATAGCGTGCACTGGGGCGTACCTTATGCCACTGCTACTTACCTTTATGGTCGCCTGCAATGCTGGAATAAGAACAAAATGATGCATCCAAAAATTATTCTTACATTTGGTTAAAAACCCTGAAAAAAGTCTAAAAAGTATTAAACTTAAATGTCGGATACCTGTAGACACCCAGTTTAGACACTTGGAGTTTTACTGTGATATTTTATAAATATATGCCTAGCCTGCATCTCATTACAAGAACCGCTGCGGCAATTATTTTTCATAGCTTTCTAAGCTGCTAACAAGCTTGTCTTCAGTACATTGAGTCTACATAGCTGCAACACTGCTACATGTAGCCCCTCTAGATATGAACAGGCCAGCCGTTAGGAGAAACAGGCAGGGGGACAACATTTTCAAAACATTTTTTTTATACTTCCTGTGAATAATATAATCCAGTAATCATATTTCCACATTTATTTTGCGTCTACTTATACTCATATCTATTCTTAAGACCTTGTTTTCTTATTTTGAAAAGCAGAGGTAGTCACATGTGTGTCTTGGGCTAAAAAATTGCCCTCCAATAAAAGATGAGAGAAAAGTCAAATCAAACATTGATTGAGAAAATTACTGTATGGTATTAAATCATAAGACACCAGGAGTGAACAAACATTTTTTTCTTCATTTATTCATTCGATTTTGAGGCTATTTTAATTAAATACTGGTCAACTTGTGTTTCCAAATCTGAAATAGTGTAAAGCGCATATGGCTGTCAACTCGCAGTTTTCCAGTCAGAAACGATTAATGCAATTTCAAGGCTGTTTAGGAGAGCATCAGATGGCACGCTGAAATGGTGGGCCTGGATATGAATGAAGTATTAACATGAATGTCTGAAACCATTTTTATTTACTTGAACAATCTTTATCATGACTTTTGAAGTGAAGTCTTTTGACACTAGGTGGCGCCACATGTGTCAGAGCAGACTGAGGTGGTGCTCTGCACAGTGTAATCCTGTAGTGAGATTTGTCACAACATGGCATATAATTGACATGTTGACATAATACAAGTCAGGCTCATACACACTGAAGTAAAGATAAACTGGCTTTAAGTCTGCACTTCAGGCTGAATGCCTGCTTTGAAATAAAAGACAAAAATCAGAGTCCATCACTTTTATGTTCAGTGATGAGTTATGACACCACTTCAAAGTGCAAGATGAACTTGTTGAACTCTTTATGGTTCAGACATGATTAGAACAACAAAGTCTTTTGCTTTGTCAAGGAGACATGCAGATTAAAAGTCAGTGTAACACAATGCACCAACATGTAGCTGACACTGACAAACATTTGTTTGTATTGTATATCTATAAGGTATACTGTGCAGTGATATTTATGACAAATGTTTTACCTAAGACATTGCCAGTGTCTCCTAGACTGTGTTTACAGGGGGACAGATCACAAGTGCATAATGTGTCATGGGATGAATTCTCAGTTGTTGGCTGGAGTCGTTACAGCTGCTAGAACAAATCTCAGGTATTGGAAGTCAACGAAATCCCCAGAAATAAAAGAAATGGTCAACTATATGATAAAAACTGCCTCTTATGAATCCATGCTGACTGGATGACTAACCGTATTACTCAAGGACTGATCTGGAGGGAATTTTGGAATTATTTTTGCATTGTCTGGGGGCTGTGGAAGTTTGATTTTTGATTAATCTTGCCCTGCCAATTTTAATTATTATCACTATAAATCTTAATGTGTTTAATTATTCAAATTAAATTTTGTTATTTTGATTGTTTTTTGGTGGACTGGGACCAGTGCTGCACCCCCTCTTGTACCCTGTTTGTATTGTGTTTTTATTTGTGTTTGTCAATATTGAACGTCTTGTTTGATGTGTAGAACTGTCATGTACCAACCTGACCAAAATCAATAAAAATCTGAATTATAAAAAACATTTTATCAACATTTTTATCACCTTATTTATAGCTTAATGATGTTTTATGATCTGCACCTCAAAAGGTGTCTCAGTTACAGTTTAATAGTCTTGTTAACTGTTTTGCACATTGTTTTTTACATTTTATTTCTGTATATTTCTCTTGTATATTTTTAAATTTTAGTACTACTTATTTTTGTATATATTTTCTATTTCTATATTCTCATATATTTTATTTATCATAATTTTATTATTATTATTATTTCATTACATCTGTTTTTGTCTTCTCGTATTTACATGTATATTACTGTCACACGCATTTCCAAGTTTAGGATCAATTAAGTACTGTCTGTCTGTCTGTCTGTCTGTCTAAAAGACAATTCAGTGCCACACTCTAACAAGGCCTCCTTTGTGAAGAATTAATAATAACAATAATAATACTCATACTGGCGCTATTAAAGGTTGGTAAGTTGTTTACCAATGCTTTACAATGTTGCAAAAAAATACCCTTACTGATTATGGACAGTGTAATTTTTTAGGTTTTTTTGTTTTGTACAGCACTTCAAAACCAATATGAGGAAGTGTTTTATACTAAACAAACAGTTAAGAACAGAGAGTCATAACATAAACATTAAAAATGTACTGATTAATTGTGACTGAAATGATTGATATGCTAAGTGATATGGGTGAGTTACTTTCTGGAAAATGGCAGCAGATGACCTAGACCACAATTTATTAACACTTTAATAATAGTAATAATAATGATAATAAACATTATAATAAATAATACATTTTAAGAAAATACGAAGAACAAAAAAAAAATAAAATACCATCACTGAAGCAGCTAAGCAAAGTCGGCAACTAACTGCCTGCTGACAACACAAGATAAAAACTATGAAAATAATCAAATGAGGCATATATAAAATAAACAATGTGTTGAAATTAATAAAAGGCTTTTTTGAACTAATAAGTTCATAGGATGTCACTGATTCAGCAAGCCTCAGATCCTTGAGCAGGGAGAGCTGAGGAGCCTCAACTGAAAAAGCCTGGTCACCTTTGGTTTTGGGCTGGGCCTGAGGAACAGCCAACAGAGCGCTGCCTGAGGATCTGAGGCTGCCATCTGGCTCATAGGGGAGCAGCATCTCAGCATTGTAGCTGGGGGGTAAACCATGAAGTGTTTTAAAAGTGATCACTAAAATCTGGAAATCGATTCTAAAACTGACTGATAACCAGTGAAGAGAGGCTGAAACAGGGCTGATATGGTCATGTTTTCTGGTGTTGGTTAAAAGCCAAGCAGCTGTGTGTTGCACTAGCTGAAGCCGTGAGATGGCTTTTTGGCTCAACCCTGAATACAATGAGTTACAGTAATCTAACTGTGAAGAAATTAAAGCATGGATGACCTTCTCAAGATCATGTTGAGAGAGAGAGAGGACCTGAAAAGAAATTTTCACAACCCTGCAACATAAACTGGTTCTTATCAATGCCTTATAATTGATCTATAAAGTATTAGTAAGCTTTTAATAGATAAATCCAGTTATTATAACATAAAAATCCTTTACAAAAGAGCATCTTGTTAGAAATCGTAATGGCCTTTTATTGAAAAAAATTCAAACAGGTTCTGTTTATCTTTATAAATTAATTTTACAGTCTACAACACAGATTTAATTTAAATCCTAAAACCCAGCATCCACAAACACATCCATCTCAAACAGGCCACACATCTAACAGTGAGACAGTCAAAAACACACAAGATGAAATGTAATCTACTACTATGAAGTCCCAAAGTCATTACAGAACAATCTGTAATCTCCACTTTTGAGTTCATTTGGCCATCAAGCACAATCTACTGACTCCAACCTGTCACTCTCTGTGGCTACACACTCTTCTCAGATCATCTCCAGCTTTGACTCCACAGAGTTATTTAGTCTGCCACTTGGTCCAACTGGGCTGCTAAGGCTTCCTCCTGGAGACTGTGTTTGTTTTTCATGCTGTGCTGCAGCTCCCGTCTGGTGTTCAACACTGCAGTCTGAAGGGTTGCAATCTCAGCTGACAGCTCGATCACTGTAATATTACAGGGAAAGGAGAGAAAATTAAAGATGGGGAAAAGGATTTACCAGTGGGTCATTAAGAGCTGTGGTTGAAGCTTCATCTTGCACACATGCGTAAAAATACAAATAAAATGATAACGTTCTTCCTAAACACCTTGTAAGGAGCATTATGTCATATGCACGTTGTGCATGAACCCAATGTGGCGCCAAGAGTTCAATACACTGCAACTAAAGAATTCAAATATACAAAACAAAAGCAAATGAATAAAGCATCTTCACCAATCTGATAACACATACTTCATGTCGCCTAACGTAAGATGCTACAAATATAGGCTAGGTTAGCCTGTATCCGAGGCAAACTGGTAAACTGTTTGTATTTTGTCAGCTTATTTGAATCAGGAGGTTAGTAAGGTGAACACCAGGTGCGTAGCAAATATCTGCAATGATTTCTAGATCATGCTGTCAGTGTGAAAAGAAAAAAAAAAAATCATGATTCCCAGGGAGTCAACTTAAGTGTGTTTCTGTATTTGCAACGTGCTTTGTGATGCTGCATACAGGATTTTTGAAAGTTCTCCATAATATTTTCCGCCCTTTCCATGACTCAGTAATCTAAAATAATCAGCCTGTATACTTCTCTGACAAAAGGCAATTTGAGGAAGGGCTCATTTCCAAATGTGGAGAGGAACACACACTTTGTTCCCCCACAACTAAATCTGGCCACTATTCTGCTCTGCAACAAAACATCATAAGTTTTGGGGCAGAGCCTCACTCCAGCCCGGCTAAGATCTGCCTCTCTCTTGAGCTGTGTATTATATTTGCCATTTAAAAGCCACACATTGTAATACACACTCTTCCCAGGCATTTGTGGTTAAGCAAACTGCTAGGGTTTGCTAACTTTATTAGCATGTTGGACATCCCCCCTGCCAATGAGCTGCATGTGCCAATATGTATCATGTGACACTAGTCACGTTTCAGTCATGCAGTGCAGCAGCACGTATTCATGACCGTGGGAACCCTGTGTGTATGTGCTTTCAAACTGCCGAATGTGTATCACATTTTGCCCATGTTTCATTTCTTTGCAGTGTTTTGTAAATGATCCATAAATTCTGTTAAACTGATGAAGCATGTGCTTTCTTATGCTGCAATGAGTTCAGCTCTCAGTGCCGCCTTAAGAAGCTCAGCAAAAATAAATTGATGTGACAACAGATACAATGTGTACAACTGCTGACACATGGTTGTTTTGGTACAATGTGGAGAGAAAGAAAACCATGTCTATCCTTAGCAGTATCTAGTACATACATATCAAATCAAAATAATAACATAATCCTGGCTATATCGTGACATATTAGCAAAACAAATATTCAATTGCTTTAAAGCAAAACCAAAGCAAAGTATAGGATCTTTTGGAAATATAACACCATACCTTGCCTGAATGATGACTGCGCTTGTTTAAGAGACTGTGGCACCAGAATCCCAAACCACTTCAGCGGATCTTGCTGAGGATTCTGCTCAATTTTCCTCACTGGAGTAACTTCAGGAGCTTTCTCACTGCTTGCTTCTTCACTCGCCTCTTTCTCTGTGGTATCCTTTTTTGGTTTGATTCTTCTCCTGACACCTGTAGAAAGAAAACCTGTATTTGTTACATTAAAAGTGTGTTTGGTTTTGGTAAATGCAAACATTCCTTTTCCATTACCATATGCACTATGGCAGACTGACCTTCTTCTTGAGGTCCAATATCCTCTATTGACTTAGCATCTTTTCCAGCCTCATTACTACACTTTTGTTTGACCCTTTCTGAGCAGAAATCCACCTCACCACTGTCCAGTGTTCTGTAACACATAAATCCAAGTCATAAAAATTGACAGTCACTCAATTCCAATGAACAACAATTTTCCCAGCAGCATTTATCCCATAGATTTGCCAAATTCCTTACCTGGCATGAACACAGACCAGTGGCTCTATCTCACTCGCATACTGAAGTGCAGAGACGTGTTTGTTTCCCATGGAATATCGAGCCTTGGAAATGGAGAACCATCCCTGTGGGGAACATGCAATGGTAACCTTACATTACACAGGTGTTTAAGTGGGAGAAGAATATACAGGGTAAAATACGAGCCTTCAAATACTAAAAAAAAAGCTTTAAAGCAATTGTGTGTAAGATTTAGGGGGCTCAAGTGGTATCTAACAGTGAGGACTGCAGAGACAACCAGCTGAAACTTCACCTGATTACAATTTCTGTGTTAAGTTCAGGATGTTTTACAGTGTGTCGGATTATTCAGAGATCACTTCCTCTCCAACACAAATGGACCAGGGTATTTAAACCAGTAAAATCATTAAATAAAGCCTGGCAGCCAGTGGTTTTCCAACACTGCTTGCCATGAAGGGAATGCTAATTATTGTGGCTGATGCAAAAATACAAATGGCCCTATCTAGAGCTTGTGTTTGGCTTGTCCACTCTGGGCTACAGTTGAAACGTGGCGGTGCAACATCAACAGTACAAAACCCAGAGATAGTCATCACTGTATTAGATTACTACCAAAAAAAAGCAGAGCCTTACATGTGAGGGGGTAAAAGGTATTTCAGCTCGATTTCAAAAAGGGTTACACCTTCAAATACATTTACTGTTCAGATTTTAAAACACACACATTAAACAGAAATAGCTGTCTGTGAGTGGTAAGCCTGCTTAAAGCAAATTATAGGTAAACTCTGCGTGGTTTTCTGAGTGCTACCTGCTCTATAAGAGAGTTGAGGGCGGCTCGTTTCTCCTCCAGTAACTCCAGCTGGTCCATGAAACGGAGCAGCTTTTCGTCCAGTAACAGAGAAGACTCCTCCAGTTGTGACACACCCATGTCGACTCTTTATACCAGCTCAAATACCGCCGACTTTTCTACTGAAAATCACCCGTTCGACGCTAAAATAGACCACACTAACCCATGTAACGTTAGAGTACACAAGACGCTTACTGCTTCCGCATAGCATCACATGACACGGGGCGTCACGTGATTAAGATCACATGACACAGCTCTGCGTAGAACTGTATGGAGGACGACAACGAAATAAAACATAAATAAATAAAATTATAACTAAATACATGTCTAAATAAACAATATGGAAATTAATAGATAAAAACGTAAATAGATGATAATTAAACAGGACATAAATATTTAAATATATATATATTTTTTTACATTTATCTTGAATGTACACCTACATTTCTGTACTATTTCTGTGTCCCTGTGGCCTATTCAAAGGAGCAATTGGAGCAAATGTATCCCCATTATTGAATTAGGTGGAGCAAACTTGTGGTTTTGCTTCTCCACTTTTTGTCTTTTCAAAAATGATAAAATAATGTTGTTGTTTTTTTAAACAGTCCCATCATTCAGGTGATTATATCTAAGCAGCCTATATTATAATAATTTTCCTATTTTTTCAGCAACTGACAAAAACAAGTAGCAAGAAACAAATATTACCCTTTACTTGAAATGTTGGTAGATTATTGGCAGCCCTAAAAGAAGTCAAAACATTTTTTTCCCCAGTAAAATTACTTGTAGCGCACAATAAAAGTTAAATTCAAAGTGCTGCATTCAGCAGAGCTATTACTAGTACAATGCATTTAAATACACTTAATCTATTCAAGGGTAATTCTTACATAATGCTGAATCGTTTAATAAACAATAATGGATAATATTTTAATTGTTATGTTTATTGTTATATATAACCAACATGATATTCAGTCCATCCTGCATGCTTACTGTTGTCACTTTTTTACTGATTCTGACTTCAAATTATATTACGCAAAATCACACTCTGTTAATATGAAATAAATTCTGTGTGTAAGGTAGGCATCCTGAGACATTAAATACTATATAGTGCAAAAGAGTAATTCCCATACCGGGAGTCGAACCCGGGCCGCCTGGGTGAAAACCAGGAATCCTAACCGCTAGACCATATGGGACAGATGTACAGCACTCAATGTCCATTTCTTTTATACGCCCCAGTTCCGTATCATAAAATAGGGTATAACCCACGATGTAACGGAAACGTTAAAGCGATGAGCAGCAATCAGTAGTGGAAGAAGCACTCAAACATTTTACTTAGTACGTAACAGTAAAGTAAAATTACAAATAACGTTACTCTATTAACATTACAAATAAAAGTCCTGCATTGAAAATCTAAGTCTTTACAAAAGTAATGGCACCAAAATGTACTTAATACCTAAAGTAAAAGTGACTTTAGCCTAGCCATTACGCAGAATGGTCCATTTTATAATCATATAGCATTATGTAATATCACTGGATTATAATGCAACGCTAATGCATTAATGTGTACATCAGTTTATTGTTGCAGCTGGTAAAAGTGGAGCTTATTTCACTAACTCCATATACTGCTGGGTAGTTAAATCTACACTCATTTATCAGAATTTATTAGTTGATTTATATTTTGTGCTAATAATGAATAACTGAGTCTGCAAAGTGAGCTGTCAAATAAATACAGTGGAGTAAAAACTACAATACTGTCTTCCTTAATATTGTAGAGTAAAATATAAAGTAGCGTAAAACAGTACCACCCTGTACTTAAATACAGTACTTGAGTAACTACATTCCACCAATGGCAGTGCGTTTCCAACAAGCTGGCACATTACACATAAACACATTAAAAACTGACATGAAGGGTACAGCTAACGTTATATTCCATACCTTGATAACCTCTAGCTAAGTATGCTGTAACTTAGCTTAACGGTTAGCTTGCTTTGCTAACGTTAAAAGTAACCTATCAAGCAACTTGACGTTAACGAACTCACAGTTTAATGTTTCATGTAACACTACTTGCTGTGGAAAGCCTGTTTAACGTCGAAGAAACGTGTAGTAATAGTAAAGACATGTTATCTGAGCTGTGCTCCACAAAAACTAACCGCTAACTTAACGCTAGTCGCTGGTGTAGCTGATAAGTTGGCATGCTAACAAACTAACCTATTCGTTGTCGTGTTAACAGGTCCTGGAGGATTCTGGAGAGCGCGAGCAACATGGGTTAACTGACGGCAGACTGCTTTTCACAGAGATGGAGTAATGTGACCATATGGAAGACAACTTCCGACTTCATGTGGCTTCATAAAGCCTACTGAGTCTATCGCTTACATGACTCCCAGTAGCTCGCCGTGATCGTATAGTGGTTAGTACTCTGCGTTGTGGCCGCAGCAACCCCGGTTCGAATCCGGGTCACGGCAGGGTTGATTCCCTGACACGGCTTGGGAGTTACTTTTTCTTACCGTACGAAGACCCCTCTGTGAGTGTTTTGCGTAAAATAGCGAATAACAATGTACACAACTTTACCAGTGAAGTGGCCTTAAATTTCTTTTTCTTTGTAGCTACAATGGCGGTAAAAGATCCACTTAAAATAGTCAAATTTATCACAATCAAATGCTCTTTTCCTGGTCTTTAATTTATATAAACATAATTTTGCCCCCGCAGATATTACATCTGAAATAATGGATAACGTTACATATTATATCCTCCTGAGACCCGAACTTTTGTTTGGTTTGCATTTTTAATTTTTTCTAGCTATTTTGGAATCAATAGGACCAGATAAGTATAAAAAGCTAAACATTGTAAACTATAATTAAGTCCCAATGTCCTCAAACAAGTACTTCCTAATTGACAGTGCCTGCTTGTTACTATTGCTAAAATTGGTCAAATTTGTTGCCATATCAAGCTACAAACATTATAATCACAGATAGACAATTTTCAACCATAAAATGTGATCAGGTTTTGGACCTTGTCTTCTTTTGTGTCAGGGTCAGCTGTAGACTGACTTTGCAAAGATGGCTGCCATCTTGTTTTTACATGGATTAGTGTATTATGCACAAAAAGCGTCCACAAACGAGGACATTAGGTGTAAGTTAAGAAGAATGAAGTGTAACGTCCAGTAAACCCAAAATGTGATGAACTCTAGTGGAGCCTCAAGTCATATTTTAGAACTCTTGGACAAGTATGGTATTTCTACACCACCAAGGAATTATGCTTTAGTTCTTGATGCAGCCCCTTCTGGTGTCGTATTAGATAGCGTATTGCTTCTTAAAAACTCAGTAGTATCTCAGTAAACTTCACTACCTGTGGATCTTGTTGCTGATATTGGTAGGACCTGTTTCTCCTCTGCATAGAACAATAATAACTGTGCTGTACGTGCTTTATTTCAAAATGAAATAGTCTCTGTCCCAAATGTTGCTTCCTACTGGAATAACCTCACTTCAGACCTACTTTCTAAATATCTTATTATAAATGAGAAAGTGACTTTTACGATGATTCATCTTTTTTATCCCACTAGGTATTTCAACAAGGACATAAAAAGGACATGCTTGTGGACTGCTCATTTTGTCAACTTATTCCAAAGGATTTATGCCATCTGTTTTGGCCTTGTTCCCACTCTTATATTTTTTTGACAGGATGTCTGTTCTTTAATTTCCCAGTACACTGATTTTGAATTTTCCCTTTCTTATGAAAATGTATCGTTTGGCTTTTTACCTACCCTTCTACTAAAGCAAATCAATGCTATATCATCAATTTGATTCTAGTACTTGTAAAATATCATATTCTTCCCTTCTCTCTGTATTTTTAAACATATATTAAAGACCTACCATTTTAATCTGGCTTTTAATGTGGAGTAACATTAAAGTCTTGATTTTTAAGTTTTAATCATTGGTTTTTACCTTCGTTTCATCTCTCCTTTCATTTTAATTCTATTCATTTATTTACTTACTTAGTCTCTTTTTATTCTATGGAATGATAATCTTTTTTGTTAGTTTGTTCTGTTTTGGTTGGTTTGCTTTTTAGAATATTTTATTGTTTTGTGTCTTTGCCATTCCAGTTTTGCCATGTGAAGCACTTTGGGCTGCATGTTTGTATGAAAGGTGCCATATAAATTAAGTTTGAAAATGAGCTCAAACAATACATTAAATCAATTATATTTTTTAAAAAATAGGAAACTACTGAAAAATATGTGCACCCAATATAAGTTTCATGAGCTGATGTATGATGTTAGTGCTGATCCCCTGACATTATCTGTTTATGCATATATTGTGTTTATTAATAAAATGTAAAAAAAAAAATAATAATAATAATTTTCATTTAAAATTTTTAATTGCCTGATGCTTTATGGTCCTTTACTGACATGATTTTTGTCATTTTAATTTTTAGAAATCTCACTTCCTTGTCTCGTACAGCAAAGTCAAAGTGAAAGATATTTGCCAGGAACAGTTTATAAAAGCTTTATTTTTTTTTAATTTATTTATTGAAATGCAATAGCTTCATTTCAGGTGTCGTATTTCACCCTTCACCAACATTTGAAATACTTTATAACTTTGTCCGTGAAAAGAGGGGACGGTCTTCTCGAGTAAGAGACACATATTCATTGGTGGTTGCCAACGACAACGTCCATGTTCCGAGGTGACGAGCCAATCAACAAGCCGGCAGATCGCAAGTGCTGCTAGCTCTATGAACACGGCCTTCCGATTGGTTCTTGTAGCCACAAGGAACCGCCCACTGCTCTTGTTCGTTCCGGGTTAGAGTGTATCTGCACTCATGTGGCTCACAGACAGCAGTGGACTGTTGGATCTTCAATATAGTTATACTTTTCAATTAATCTAATACTTTATATTTAATACAGAGGTTAAACTCTGTGCAGCTGGACACCTGTTTTTGTTTCATCACTGGTAAGAACAACATAAACACATGTATCAGTCTGATATAGAGCTCATTGAATAAAACCTCACATGTAATAGCTTAATTTGTACATTTGTTGCTCTTTCATCATTAAACTGACAAAGAGTTATTTTTAATGTAACATTGTAAAATTAATTAAATTAATTTTAAGCCTACTGTGGATGCAATGTATTGACCATCCTCTCCTGACAGATGATGGATGCCACATCACAAACTGGAGTTCTTCATCCCTACTGGCCACGGGACCTTCACATCCCCACATATGTGGCCAATGACCGATCTATGTCAGAGATTCTGGTGTTCCTGTTCTCTGTGTCTGGGGTGTTTCTGCTCGTCACTTGGCTGATCACCGGCCGCAGAGGGGCCAGCGGCAGGCTGGGGATGTGGAGGCGTCTGGCTGTGTGCTGGTTTGCTGTTTGTGGGTTCATCCATGGTGTCATTGAGGGATGGTTCTCACTGTATTATGATGTTATTCCAGGAGACCAGAGCTTCCTGTCACAGCTGTGTGAGTATAGACAGAATAAAACATGTTTAGAAAAATGCAAAAGCTGTAAACTGAGTCTATATGTTTGTATTTTTCTGTCACAGGGAAAGAGTACTCCAAAGGAGACAGTCGATATGTAATGTGAGTTCATCTTTGCACAGAACTATGTTGAATGTTTGCATAAAAAAATAAAGATCATAGCTGCATATGTCTTTTCTATCTAGAGCGGATAACTTCACTGTGTGTATGGAGACTGTGACTGCATGGTTATGGGGACCTTTCAGCTTTTGGGCTGTGTTTGCCTTCTTAACTAACAAGCCCTACAGATTTGTTCTGCAGCTCATCATTTCATTAGGTAAGATGACAAAAAATACCAAAAAAGCTGTCACTGAATAAAATGATTATTTCTTACCATGATGTGTCTCATTACATAATCTGATTGCAGGTCAGCTGTACGGAGCAGTGCTTTACTTCTACACAGAGCACAGAGACGGTTACGCTCACAGTGAGCTGGGACACCCAATCTACTTCTGGTTCTACTTTGTGTTCATGAACGTGCTGTGGATCGTCATACCGCTGGCACTCATCATGGATGCATGGAGGCAGCTGTCAGCAGCCCAGACGCACGCTGACAACACCAGGACACACAAGTCTAAGAGGAACTGACAACAGGAAGGACAGACTGTGGGACAGTAGGACAATGATTACAGGAGATAGGAGGGGGAAGACAACTACGTTAAAACAGGGGACAAAAGAAATTGAGTTTTCTGGAGTTACATGCCTCAGCTAAGGTGTGGCATGTTGTTGCATTATGTGCCTTTTACATCTGAATATCCAATAATTGTCAGCAAGCTAATATTTTCATTTTAAAGTGTAACTTGTTCCTTGTGTATGTGACAATAAAAGCTTTGTATTTTATTCAGGCTTTGTGGAGCCTCAGGGAGAGGAGCAAATAAATGATCTGTTTTCTCAATACCATCCTCATTTGTTTTTGGATTTTGCACAACATACAATGTTGGGAAGGTTACTTTTGAAATGTAGCAGATTACTAGTTACCAGAGGTGTACATATAGACAGTGCAGGCAGTGCGGTTGCATAGAGAGGGTGGGCCCTTCAACAATGTGTTGGGTGGCGACTGGACCCTTATGAGTGATTACCACCTTGAAAATACGCCTGTTTTCATAGAAGGACTCTCACTAAATTAAAAACAGTGCCCTTTGCTGTATGTGTCATTGAAAAAGGCAAACCCATCTCCATTATGTTTATTTTTGCTTTTTTTTTTTTTTTTTTTGTAAAAAGAAAAAGTCAACAGCACCTGGGAAGACCCAGACGACCTAACAGTGCGACTTCGCACCAGTCATTTAGAACTGAAAAAGCCTCTTGGATGAGAGGTGAAACATCTTAAAGAAACTCACACAAGTCCAGTTGCCTACGATATAGCACTTATGATAACCATGACCTGGATGACTGAGAATCTTCACCAATATTATAAACTATAACAATTTATAATAAAATTAATAATGACTCATTTCCTTTGGTATTTTGTGATATACAGATATGCAATGATGATTGCTGGGTAATGGCAAGTCTCTGATCATGTGACGTGACGATATGTGCATGATAGCGCACACAATCTGGCCATCACTACAGCGAATACAGGGGCCCAGTGTAACTAATTTATGCCACTGCTATTTACCCTGTTAAAAATATAATGAGTAATGTAACTACTACATTTGATTACTTTTTAACAAATGTTTCAAACTGGGCAATAAAGCTGAAAAATATCAGGAAATAGACCGTGCCAAAACAAGACATTCTTTTTTCTCATTTGCTGTAAGAGATTACAATTACAGGTAACTAGTTTCTCCTCAACTCTGATCATGAATAGACTGAGCAATACTACTTTTGGGGATATAAAGTGACTCTTTCACATGGAACCCATATTCAAGTGTTTGTCTCAAGTATTTGTATTTGATGCTTTAACTGACAAGCTTCACTGTAATGATAGCTCTCTTTATGAAATTTACTTGAGTATCTTTAATCCCTTTTAGTCATACTAAAATATTCATGACCACTAGTTATGTGCTTTTACACCATTTCCTGCTACACCCCAGTATTTTACATTTGTGAATACTGTAAAACTTCAATTAAAAGCCCAGTCCCAATGAAACACCCAGTCTCTTATTTTAGCCCGGTGTGGCTACACATTTTGACAAATTAAGGCCTGTCTCAATTAGACGCCTCCTCTGGTTGCCAAGCAATTCATGTTTTCTAATGGAAGATCTTTGGATGGAAAAAACGGGTTGTTGGCTACCTCAAATTATGTGTCCATTCCTTAATTACTTGTAAGTTATTCATATTCCTTTAGTCTGGAAGGGTCCACGGATCAAAAGAATCAAAAGGGTTTTTCATAAAAATCACACCAATGTTATATAAAAATATCTTTAAATTCTAATGCAATGCAGACTTTCAAGAAATATGGGATATTAATAACTTATAACAAGGCAGAGGCACAGCTCAGTAAACTATATGTGTTATGCTGTTGTATATGGAGGACAGAAAATGACGTAAGTATAAATAAATAAATAAATAAATATATAAATGTATAAATGCAAAAATAAATGTATAA